AGCTCTTGCATTTTGGGCAAGTTGGACAACAGTCCCTTATAGGACAATGCAGACTACTGTTTATGGCCATATATGGAAGAAAATAAATGTGAAGATAACATTGAAAAATCACTTGTCCTAAATGTAATTCCTGCCCAGAAACACAGCCAAGTTATCAGAAATTGCCTACGTTTTGTGGGAAGCTTAACCCTAACCCTAGCTGTAGATCTGGCATAGGTTAGGGTTAGGGTTAAGATGTTCTTCAAAGAGTTTCCACAATCTTCTAGTAATCTGAGTGGAAAATATACTGCACTAAATCAAGATATTAGTTTGAAGCCACCTAACCAAACCAAAAAGAGTGTAGTACTAATGGGAAAAATCATTTTTTGGGAAGTATGGGAAGTATGAAGTATGGGAAATTTCATGTTGAATGGTGTTCTGCATGCGTATGGTTTCAGGCTTAACTAGGCTTAGTCTGAAATACTCAATCAGTACTGATTTCATTTGTTGATATGCCTGGGCATTTATTGTATATGCAAGATTTTGAAAACAATGATCACTTTCTTTGAAGTTCTTGCTTTTAGGGCAAGTTGGACAATGCAGTCTGTATATATATATACAACTGTATATGGCCATACTGTATATGGATGAAAACAATGTGAAGACAACACTGAAAAATCACTTGTCCTAAATGTACTGTATTGCATCAATGGGAGATTGCACATTATGGATTCTCAATATCAATACACTACGTAAGTCGGATCATTTTGATTCATCCCGATTTTCAAAGTAACTCCCACTTGCTCAATAGACCAACCCAGCACTGCGCCCATAAATTTAGACAACTGAGGTCGTCCAAGATAGTGTCAAGCGACAGGAAGATAAACCTTGACCTGCCTCTTCACAGGTAATATGATCCAGCAGGTGCAAGGCCAATCAGAAGTTGGTGGGTAAACTTAATTCCTTTGCTCATTCTCATTGATGCTCATTTTTATCAACGTCCAATGCTGAGTTCTTGAATTTCAAACATCCAAGGCTCAATTTCTGTGACTTTGTGCTCCATGGGCTCCCTAACAATCTTATCAGTATACAATATTTCCAAATCTCTGCAGCTAGACTCCAAACTCCCACCAGGCCCCAACAGCACAACACTTAAGTCACATATCCAGTATAGGATTTGGACTTCTAAGGATCTAAATAATGTACGGTATGATGGAACCACATCACTGAACTTCTCCACGTTTATACTCACTCTTGTAGGCTTCAGTAGAAGCTAGTCCTTATGTCTGATTGCCTTACAGTTTATCTTCTATGTTCTTGTTTTATTTTATTTTTAAAAAATGTATCTTTATTAGTAGTAGCAGTAATATTAATAGTAGTCAGTTGGGATACTAACAGACAGGTCTAACAGACAAGCTGAAATCATTATCTGACTTTCTTGTAAACTGTACTCTTTTTTGCTTTCTCTTTAAGGCCCAGTGAAACATTACCCATAGGGCTTTTTTTTTTGCACTGTTTAAGGTATTACTTGTGTTCTAGCAAGCAATCTTCTGGCGATTCACACACAGTACACAGTAAAACAGAGATGGGTGTACCGTACGTATTTTGTTTCTGCTACAGCAAACCAACTGTAAAATGTGGGTGCAGGCTTCCCATCTTACCACTAGTGGCTGCCATTTCCTTATTTTGTGTTTAGTACTGAGTAAAGACTAAGCAGCAACACAGAAAACAGTTCATATTGCCTTGAGATGTTAGCATTCTCCACGTTTCATAGGAGGTCTTACCTGGACCAATTTCGCCCTTTCTCACCAGAACTAAGTTATAAGTGATTTAAAGAGAAGTAAGGACATCCACTGGATTGTTTTTGTGGGGCTAGAGATTTAGACCCAAGCTCTTGTCTATGACAGAGAGATTGGAAGTCCAGCGCTTTCGCTAAAACCTTACCACTATAATCCATTTATTACCAGAACCATCTGCACCTTCTTCTTGAATCTCCACAAAATAAACTGCAGTGTAGCCATTGTTATAAGAGCATAAGTGAATTTAACTGAAATGCTAGGGTTTTATTTGCAGGATTCCAAAACCAGTATACCAAAGCATCCTTTTCTCAGAGCATGGACAAATAGTCTAAAAATGTATGTTGAGGACAAAGAGTTGATTCTAGCAAAGATATAAACAACTGGTGCTACTAATTTTTCATTCAACCATTGCTTTCAAAATATTACAAGGGAAGATGCACTGGAAACTCAGCTTAAAAGAAATTAGTAGATTTTTAGAAAACCGGAGAATTTGCTTTATTCTGTATAGGGAAAAAAAGTAAATTTCCCTCACACTGTGAGACATTAGAGAGGTATTACAGGGACATATTTCAAGTGAACTGAGATCAACATAGAGATTTTTCAACATGATCTGAGAAAATCCAGTATAAGTGCATATTGTACTCAAAAGGCTGATTTTGGCATACTCCAGTTTCAAAAGTTACAGCTTCCAAAATTTCAAGCTTTGTTGGCTCTGTTAGTAGGGAGGCTTACATCACAGAATTACAGACAGTAGGGACCTGAATCACTGATGCACACAGGAGAGACATATTTAACCTATAGTCTCACTCCAGGGAGTCATACAGCTGGCATTTTTACTGAAGAAATTAATCAGATGGATAATGTTGGCTGAAGCACTGTAGTACCTGAAACTCGACAGACGTTGAAGAGAAATCCTGAATGCAACTCATAGATGCTGTTTCTATTCAATCTTTCAATTCACAGCTAAAACCAAAATCTTTAGGCAACACTGCAGAATTCCTGGAAGTGGGAAGATGTGAAACAGGATCACCAGCATTAACCATAATCCATAGCTGGAAAATGGGTTTTATGAGGCAGAAGGAAAAGATTATAGAAACCATAATCATCCAAGACTCACCATCCTTCAGAACCCATCATTAGGTCATGAATTCTGAAGCTGTGGGAAGCCAAACTATTTAATGTGACCTACAGGGAGTTTTACCAAATCAGCAGCATGCCTCAGACTATAGAAGAACGACATTCTAGACTAAATCATATTACTGGAGCAGGGGCAGAAGTTTTACACATATGAGATTTTTTCATCTCCAGGGCTTGATAGTATTCTAACAAGTGTATTTAAAGAAACAAAAAAAAATCATAAAAGGGCATCAACACAACTCTTCCATCATTCGGTCAGGACAGAGGTAGTACCCATGGATCGGAAGATTTTTCATGTAAAGTCCAACCTTAAAAGGGTGAAAAAACAAAACAAAACATGGGACTATAAACCACTCAATCAGACTTCTATTGCATGTACTGTACAGTAAGAAAATGTAAAAAAATAGAACTAGAGAATAATTTATATAAAAACAAGATCATGGGGGGCGGTTTTAGGAAAGGTGAGTCTAGTTAACAGGTCTAATTTACAGAGTTAGAGTTAGAGTTAATGGTTGCTTTGAACAAGAAACAACAGTAATGGAGAACCTATATTTAGATTTTCAGAGGGTTTTTTATAAAGAGTTCAAATTATAAACTTTAAAATCACAGGCAGCAGGGGAAATACATGTGTTTGGGCTGATAAATTATGACAAAAAACATGGTACTGTACATTCAAGAGTTGAATGATCAGATTGGGGTGTTGTACTGTAAATAGTGGTGTACAGCAGGGATCTGTACTGGAACTTTGGCTTTTCCTAATTCACATCCATGATATAAATAAGCTGCTCCAAGCTTTTGATTTTGTCAATATACAAATGTGTGTGATCTGCAGACACATTCCAGGTTGAACATTGCAGTTGTAAAAGCAGAGAAGAACACACTGTCTGGTTAAAATGAAAACAGCTGAGTTATGAACATGGTGTAGCTTGTTAAAGACATGCTTTGGTGCACCCTCGCATAACCTAATGCATTCCAAGAATCAAGCCTGAAAATGACAAAAGCATGTTCTTGTTAAAAGTTTAAACTCAGTTGATCACAATATCATTCGGCTCTGCAATGTGGAGATACACTTATGGCATTTACTATTCAAGTATTTTTAAACCCTTAATGTACAGTACGTGAATGTGTTACCTTAAATTTAAGCTTGGAGATCTCCCATACATGTGAGGAATTGAAGACAAGCACATTTGTCAGAAGAAATTGGAATTTGGTGCAATAGGCTGGTCACACTCCATTGAAGTCAATGGTCTGATAGTTTGACCCATATTTATTGAGTAGCTTAGCAGTTCATCCACATCAGTGCAGGAAACATTATTCATAGATTTTAGAAGCTAAACATGCTGTATTTTCTTGCATGATTAAAAGGGAAAGAATAAACATCAATTTACATTGTATTACCTGTAAACACATCAGACTGGCCGACGTGAACCTTATCCTGAATACAGTGTTGAAGACACGTATTCTGTTGTATTCTGTTACACAGATTCTATTTTGTGTATTACCTATTTTGCTCAATACACTGATAGAGGCTCATTAGGTCAGATCACACTGGTATCCATTTGTACAGGTACTGTAGGTGGACTGCACCAAATGGAGCAAATACCCTTGGTTTAAGGTACAACAGGAATACCTGCAGCAAGGACTTGAACCCACGTCCTTCTTTGTATAGGACTCTAAAGACTACTCATATTCTCCCGTCATTTAAGGTCCTCTTCATAAAACAAGCCAAGAAATAAATAATTACTTTGCCCTAGTTATTGCATCAGTTAACCAGAACTATTGAAATATAGCGATTTTCCAAAACGAATACAGGTACAGTACATGAAAAGACATATAAAAGCATCCTAAAGTAATATTCAGACATCGCGTACAGTATCTTCTAATTTGTTTTTTCTACGCCTATGACTGTACAGTAAGTCGGCATACACAGGAATACTGCACAAACCTCGTGTATTTTTTTCCACCGAGTTTTAATCGTCTCCGTGTTTGTACCAATTCTGTCCATCTGCTTGCGTTTCAGTGCTGGAGGTTATGCCACGTCCCAGCTCTCATTGGTCGAATGAAAATTTCCCCCCACCCGGCTCCTCAATGGCACTGAGGAATCTCATTGCGGCTCCAGCTCAGGCGGATCGAGAAAGCCAATGGGAAATCGATCAAGGGCTCATTAGAAACAGAAGCAAAGTTTTCACTGGATTAAAAGCCTTTAACTAGTATTTGTTCTGAAGTGCATTGAAAATGCTTGCCGTGGCAGCTAATTTTCACCCTCTGGCGATTTTAGTTTAGCTATTGCCATGTAACGACACTGTACATAAACCTGCAGGAAGAAGGTGCGATGAAGTTAATGGTAGCTCTGCTGTGCGCAGCTCTTACTGTAGCTGCCGTTTCAGGTGAGTGTTTTAAGTGACTTTTTTTTTTCCAGTGGTTTGTAGCTGAACGAAACTGTATGCCTTGCTCTTCGGAGAAGCCGTTTTTGGTTACTGAAGATCGCAGTTCTCAAGCGCACAAGTCACATTGAATTTAATAGCTAAATTCTGTCAAAACTTAGTTCCGCAAAGGCTTTTATTGGGGACTAATGGAGGGGAATAGCGAACGTTTAAGTAACTCCTTTTAACGCTGGCGTTACATATTGGTACCTCAGTACTGTTGTTACTATTATTAATAATATTATGGCATGAAAATATTGTGCTGTTAAATAGTAGCTAACGAATATAACGGTTAGTGTACAGTAACTATACGGGGTACAATTCTCCGCATCTTCGTGAAAAACGCTTGTCACTCGTTTTCTTTGGCTACACAAAGCTAAAATTACTTCTGCTAGTTATAATGGGTGCAATCTAAATAAACAAGGATAATAAAAATGTGTGTATTATTGCAGATTTCTAGCGCCACCTCCTGGGTTATATTGTTACGGGCACGTTGCCGCTTCTCCTTTGCACAAAAATAATATTTCTATTCGGATTGTTTATGATCAGAAACGTGGTTTCGACTACACAAGAACATATATTTTGATGTTTACTTTAAAATAAATGGGGGACGCTTATCGCGTCACTGATCAAAACATCCAGACTAACATAATGGATAAAACGGCCTTAATCTTCTGATTGTGATTATGGGGTAGAGAACTTCAGTCGTGATCATCTGCGTATTGACCGAGATGAAAAGTTTTCTTTCAGCGTCGGCGTCAGTTTTATGGAAACGACTAGTTTGCTATATTGAATGAAGAATATGGGGCTATTGACACGGTTGTCTTTTTGCTCGTCGAGAACATTGGAAAAAGTCAGCAATTAACTAAACATAAGGTTCAAGGGTTATAATAACTCATATCACACTTTAATTAACCTTAGCCCCGTGAAGAGGCTTTAAAATCCGAGCACTTAAAACTGACCTTTTGTGAACCCTTTGCTTATCGTACTGCTGTCATGACATGCTGAGCTCCAGCAACGCAGTAAAGGTAAAACGGGCTGGAGATCAATATTTCCTTTCTGTAAGGCTTGAGGAGTTCAATAACTACAGTACATCCGTTTGAGAATAGTAAAATATAATGTACATCTTACATTACGATATTGAATTCGGGTTTGCAAAAAAAAACCCAACTCATATGAGTGATACATTTGAATATGTCAACTACAGTATAATGATACAAGCGAAGTGTTTTTTGTAGTCTGTTAAAAGTGATATATGTTTCGACGGAATGTAATTTGTTTGAAAAGCATGGATACAAAACAGTTTCAGTTTCACAGGTTTAGTCACAAATACAAATATAAAACATGGAAAATGGTGACACTATATACTAGACTATTGCCACTGTCATTTTCCCTCTGATCTGAGTAATTGCTCATGGAATAGATACTGCCAGAAGACAGACACAGGCTAACATAAGGAGATCATTATAGTGAAGGTTGCAATTGAGTCGCACCATACACACATATAGAAATATACTTTTCACTTGAGTTAATACCATTCATGGACAAAGTATTCACACAGCCCATTACGTTTGAGAAAAGTTTAACAAAATTATTATAGTCTTTCCAGGGGTAAGAATGATCATGACTGACAAGCTTAAAACTGATGAAGAGCTGCGAGAATTTGTATTAATGAATCCGTGTTCTGTGGGAACAGAAAAAAACTGTTTATCATCTTAAGACAGCGAGTGAGGTTACTATAGTGATAGGTTAATCTTATATGATTATTTTCATAACTAATTTTTCATTATTTATTTGTCCTAATCAAATGTAACTTTAGTTAAAGTAACTTTAACTTGATATTTGGGATAACTGGACAATACAGTGATATACTGTGATTTTGAGCTCCTTTTTATAAACTTAATCCAAATTGCCTCATGCTGTTCTTTTGCTTTGGACACCTCGCTTTGGCAACAATTAAAATGGTGTTCTTATATTAAAGAGGTCAAATGTCCTGCTCTTTTGTCCTTTTTCTACAAGGAAATTCTCTTGTTGACTTTGAACTGTATTATATACATATTTACATATTGGCTTGATGTACTGTAGGAAAGAAGATGCCAGATCTTGGAGAAAAACATTTTTTTAAAGTGACTCTTTAGAGGTGTTGGCTGAGGTAACGTTAAGTGTAAAAAGCATCCCGTTATTCTCCACAATCAATATCAGGCCTTTGATATAAAAAGGTTCAGTTTTGTTTTTGAGAAAGGTGATTTATCAGGCAGTAATCATAATTCTTGTAGACCATTAGCCCTGGCTGATGACTAAAGGACACCCTACTGTACATCAAAGGCAAGTCATCACATCTTTGCTTTTGCCTGGTGAACCCATTAAACAGAAGAGGGCTATTCTTGATCAATCTAGATGGAAGCACTCACTTTAAAATCACGTCCTGGGACTCCCTCATATAAGTTGTGAGATACGGCCTACAAGCCTGCAAAGATTTGCTGATTTTATTCACACTAAATGGATTGTAGCATTCCATAAGGAGACATATGACTCCGTGGTGTGCTCTCACCATTCATTCATTGCTCTTGTGCATGACTCAAAATAAACATTTAAAAATACAGTATGTGCATCCTTGCTTTGGCCCTGTTAAACATCTATTTTAATGACATGCCACAACAAGCCTCCTAGGATTATGTACAGTAGCAACCACAGGTCAGCTGGAGTCCAACGTACAGATGACCTGGACATTCTCACTGACTTCTCCACCAAATGATAGCAGGATCTTGACCCTTAAAACAAGATGAAAAATGGTCATTCCCCACCATCTTAACTATATGGCAGTGGATGCACGTTCTGTGATGAGAAGGTATGGCATGTGAAGAACATAAATTATGTGCTTGTAGGTGCATCTTGAATTGGCCAGAAGTATCGACATCATGGACCAGATCTTGTACCAGATGTTCAGTGGCACGTTAAAAGTAAAACCCGTTAACCAACCCCAAACCCCAAACATCATCCAAGTGGATGCTGCACATTGGTAGTGGTGGAGGGGAGTCCCAATTACCTGTAAAGCGCTTTTAGTGGAGTGTCCAGAAAAGCGCTATATAAGTGTAAGCTATTATTATTATTATTATTATTATTATTATTGTTGTTGTTGTTATTAAACCCATTAATTCCAGCACTCTCATATTGCTCTACAAAATACCTGATAGGACAAGCAAACATCTTTGTACTTGTACTTGTACTCTACAGTCTTACCTCCCCTACCTGTCAATTAGTTGTGGAACTTCCCACCAAACCAGAGAGCAAAGTTCCCTAAACCTGCCATCCAGGAAATACAGTTACTCATGGAGCCCTTCAGCACTGAAAGTCAGCTAGGAAGATACCTAGTATCTCCAGCACATGCCTCATTTTTGAACCCACACAAGAAACCACTGGCTCCATCTCCCAAACAGACAACAGACTACCCTCGGGCCTAACTTCATACTAGTCAGGGATGATGTGCCGGGCTGCTTCATTGGTTATACTGTACATGAGGGTGAAACCCTACTGTGAGTGTGGAAAGATACAGATAATGAGTCATATAAACATTTTCATTTTCTTTAAAGCATGTGTTTTTGGTAATCCATAAAATAACACCCTATAGCATATATCTTTTCTTAAGCTTTCACTACAGTTAATACAGTATATTAATGGTGAATTTAAACCACAATTAAGCACAAACAAAATAAAAAAAAACTTTACCCCTGTCAACCCAACATTCCATTTTAATGCTGACAGCTCAAATGATTAAGTGAGGTTTTTATAAACTTCATTGTTTGAGTCTGCACCTGAGAAGGCTTTATTGCCCAATCTGTGGAGTCTGGACTTCAGTTGAGCAAAAAGACCTGAACAGGCAAATTTGTATTAAGACCTAAACTGTATTCAAGCAATAGGTCATTCAGAGCCTCATACAGTACTTGTCCTTGAGAAAGAAAACCTTAAAGTTCACTCCATATTTCACAGAGAGCCAGGGCAAATTAAAGTTAATTAGGCATAGAACTTTGGAGAGTGCAGTGTATTTCTTAATAATTTCCCATGCAGTCCAGTAGTCTTAAACTGAAGGAGAGGAATATTGGCCAACAGCCAGATGTGGTTGGCTTATCATTAATTTATAGTATTCTTTTATAGAGTAGAATTTTTTGTATGAAAATGGAAAAATGTTTGTGAATTTAAATAACTATCTTTACATGCAGCAAAGATTTAAACTGATATTGTGAAGCTCTCTTGTAGTGTGATATCTGGCTAACACTAAATATGGAGGCTGCTGTATTCAAGACTTGGACTGATTAAAAGTTCAGAGGGCAGGAAATTCTGAAATTATTCACTGTTCTTTGCTTAGTCTTCTGTGGGTTGTACAAGTCAGTTTCTTCCAAATAGCTAATTAATATGATGAATCACCACCCAGGATTTTTTTTATTCCATGGTTATAATATAATTTATATCTTTATTGTTTTTATAAAGTTCATTTTTATTTAAGGAGAAAAGACAAAAGGGATTGGGGGTTGGAACATAATATTTCTGAGAGATAAAGGCATACTGTATAAAATCCTGCTTACTAAGCTTGTCTCCTAATCCTCTTTCAACCACAGTACTTCTTAGAGAAAGAAAGAGAGGTATCTGGGTCTGAGGCAGCTAAAATTAATGTTTATATGGGAAATAATTAACTACCAAATTAGGGATTTTACATTGTTAATTATTTAAAGTTGTAAATTAAACTGGTAGACTATTTAATCTCCAAATTGATAGAATGCTACTTGATGTACAGTAATAGTTTACATTCTGATTAGCACATCTGTACTCTTAATCCTTTCTGCAGTATTTCCTAAGTTCATGGACTGGGTAAGAAGAATTCTTCCCATTCCTTTACACTTTTTAGAAACAGAACGATCTTGTTTATAGATCACAGCTGTCAGTGAGTGCATTTCACATTGAAAACTGTT